TTAAACAACAAACAAACAAGCATACATCAACTGTGATGTAAAAAATCGATCCAGGTTGATTATAAATGAAACAGTTATGTCAATAAGAATATTTAATATTTTATTGTAGCAGGAATATCTTACAAACTGGTATAACATGTATTTATCCAACCTTACATGTACCTCCAATTCATTCACAGTGTAACATCAGAGTATACATTGTATGCATGTATACTATTGCCATTGCCAGCCACCCGTTGACGGCGTAATAGTCCCATCAAACTCCAAATTAGTGCCGTTAAGCAATACAGAACTTTGGCAGAAATCAGCGAATTATTTGCAAATCATTCGTGTATTATTCGCGACTTATTCTCAAATCATTCGCCAATATTTTACAACTTATCCGCGGATTATTCGCAATTTTACTTATTATATCTTTTAGCGTCTCCTGATATGGACTTTAACGTCGCGTCCAAGATTTTTGCACTTATATAACTCTCTCCGGCGTGTGTGCGTGTGTGCGTGTGTGCGTGTACGAGCTCAGGCAATTTCGGTTTATAGTGCTAACCCACATGCCGCAGTTATGATGGATACCCCACTATTTTAACCTCTTTTGGTATGACGTGGCCAGGGATAGGCTAGAGCTTCCACTCTCCGGGAAAGCCACTAGACGATGGAGGCTGTCACGCGTTATGCAGTCAGAAAGTTGACAACAATATATTCCATCTTATGAATAGGCTTTTGTTACATGTATTATGATCATGTACACCCAACCTAAAGCCACCCAGATTTTTGTAGTCATGAATATTGATATCTTCTTAATATGAATATCTGTATAGCCTGTATCCCTCTTAATGCATGCGTACCTCTGAGTGTACACTGGAGCATGATGTCTTTAATTGTGAACTTTGAACTTCTAAACTTTGTCAGGTCACAAGATAAGAGGAACATGTTATTTTACAAAAAGACAATAATATATTCATCATGTATTTTTTTTAGTGATCTTTAACATCATTAGGTCAGACTGAAAGTAACTCCGGCCAAAAGTGTTATTACTACTTGTGTGAAATATCGATTTTACATGTTTAGATTAATACAGTATTTCATCACCCAAAAATGTCCATCTGCTTAAAGACTTTAATATTTTAAAGTGAAATGTTGACAAAATTACTCGTGTTGGTACACTATTATTTGAAACAGTTTGATGAGATTTTCATTATCTTAAAATCGAATTCTTGAATACAATACCAAGTGTTTAATGACATCAGTAATCAAATATCTGAACTTATAAATTATTTTCAGACATCCAAAATTCATGGTGATTTAATGATACTTAATATCAAACTGGGATTTTAGAAATATCCTGTCGTGGCAAATTTTACCCTTTCGACCTTGCGTTGCAGTAACTTAGATTGATCTGTTTAAACATAAACCTGTTTTGTCTACATCCATCAATCACTACAGTGCATGTCCTCGGGGTAAACATGTACATATCTGCCCTCGGGCTTCACGCGTACCTGTGACGCCATCTGTACTGTCAACAGATAACAATCTGCGGTATGTTTTAATATTTAATGTTAGATTTTATGTCTCTGAAGCACAGCATTAAAAGATAACTTTATGTAAATACATGCTTAAAATTCAGGCCAAGAACAATGTGACAAGACAGCGTTTCTTTTAAAAATGCAGAGGCTAGAACAGTTGAGCAGCTGCACTATTTTAGTTTGGGTACATTCGTGTTTAACCCAATCCATAAAAGCTTCAAAACACATTCCACAATGATAATGATGATAATAATAAATAAAGCGACAAAACCCTTTCCATATCCAATAGAAATTTCTGCGTATTACCATTCATTATTTATATTTTATAAACAAAAGGCCATAATTCTTATGAAAATAAAAGGACAGAACCCTTTCCATAAGCATTATCATAAGTCCATTGTACGATTCCGACTATATCATGAGCATGTGTTTATTAAATCACTATCAAATAGTGATGGTACCAGGTGTCCGCGAAAAGGTGAGCGTATCCCGCTCGCCACAAACACATGCAGAGGCAAATCAATTGTTCACAATGATCACCGTTAACTGCGTTTATACAACACTCGTTAATGTTCGAATTGAGAACTTTAAACAGGTATGTACGAATGAAACCTTTTATGCGTAGCAGTTATGTTAGTATTTGAACTAAACATGTTGGTCATATTTAAATGCAGCTCACCCCACATTAAGACAAAATGGAAACGATTACAATCCAGTAACAGATAAAAGTTGAATCGTCACACATACTATCAGCCACCGCATTACCAGGCAATGTTTTAAATTCCACATTGATATGGTTGTACTGTTGGTGAGTGAGTGAGTATGGTTTTACACCTCTTTTAGCAATATTACAGCAATCTCAGGGCGGGGGACACCAGAAATCGGCTTCACATATTGTACCCATGTCGGGAATCGAACCCGGGTCTTCGGAGTGACGAGCGAACGCTTTAACCACTAGGCTACCCGACCGCCCTTGTACTGTTGGTGATCGGACAACATTAATGCATATGTAATGTAAATGTAAACATTTGATAAACTTGAAATGATAGCTTTTTGTGATGTAAAGAAAACACATATACAATAAACTATTGTTATAACGAACTCAAATGGACTACTAATTTTAGTTCGTTATAACCGTAGTTCGTCATAAGCATATGTACAGCATAACTACAGCACATAGTCGGGACCAAAAAGTAAGTTCGTTATATCCGCCAGTTCGTTTAGGCGTGTTCGTTTTAACCGTAGTCTACTGTAACATGAATTACGTTCAAGTAGAGTTTTAAGAGTTCGATTTAAAAATGTGTATTTCATGGAAACGAACTAGAATCGTAAATATGTCAACAGCCACAGCAAACAGTTACAATATCACAATATTCAACATTGCAGGATGGTCTCCTTATGGTTATACAACGTATGGTTTAGAATGTACACAACTTGTAACATTACAACACAACTAATATGCTTCAATACACAATCATAGTATTCTAGTTTAAATATTAATATTTTGATTTGATAGGTAGTTTCAGAGAAAAGGCATCTTATACAATAGAGTGAAAGAGTGAGTATGGTTTTACGCCGCATTTGGCAATAATCAAGCAATACCATGGCAGGGGACACCAGAAATGGGCTTCACACATTTTTCCCATGTGGGGATTCGAACCCAGATTATCGGCGTGAAGAGCGAATGCTTTAACCACTAGGCTACCCCACTGCCCTTATAGGTTAGAAGCAGTGTGCTGGGTGAGGTGGAGGTTTGGGATAGGGGTAACCGCATCCTTCTATGTGTTTCCCTATTACTTCAAACATATTCACAGAATATATTTGTTTATTACCTACGGTGGCAAACATATCGGGGTTCATAAAATCATATGTGTCCTGGGGTCATATCACGTCACTAGACAACAGTGTATTGTTGCCTTCATCCGGACGGCATTGGTGACGTCATTTGAATATTATTGTGACGTGAGATCGGAATGACGTCACACTAGAAACGACGTCATAGCAAAAGAGTTTTGAGCTATTCAACATCTACCCACAGGGTGATAGGCATCTTTGTTTATCTATGCCAAACGATTTCGAAAGGCTTGAATGCCAATTAATGCCTAGATGCAAGTAGTTTAACGGCATTTATGGGTGAAAGGAAAGGCTTTATTTCTAATGTTTCAAATAGATGTTGGAATAACCTTTGCTTTTATTTGAAATGTTATATACTTTGATGCAAACGAGTCATATCTGTACTTATTTCAAACATCTGATCATAATTCACACTCATGAATTGGCTAAGACCCTGAAAGGGTAAATATTCATAAAACACCATTTTTAATAATAATAATAATAATAATAATAATAATAATAATAATAATATACAGGCCAACAAACCTGATCTTGTCCTTTTTTTAATAATGCAATGAAATCAATCATATCATTGTATTTTCTGTCCCTTTTGACAGTAATGTGATTGACAAGATTGAGAAAAAACATTGCAAATATGCAGATCTCGCTTTCGAAATGTCAAGCTTGCATCCCAAGTACCAAGTTGTCCGACTCCCCATATTGTACCTTAGGTTTGGTACCTCCCAATCTGTTGACTGACATCGGGAGAGTACCCGGGTTTGCTACCAGGAATACAGCCCTTCTGACAATCTGGGTAATGCAGATGGCTGCATTGTTGGGGAGTCTTCACATTCTCCGAAAAGTTCTAGGTGGGTTTGACTAGGCAGCACTTCCTGGGATAAGTCCCATTCGCTGTCTGGGCTGCATGTAGAGGGGGCAATCTAAATCCCAGCTTTGACCTCATTATCATGCTGGATGGTTTCACCAGTGTGGTAAACGTCCAAGACCTGTACCAATTCAGGAGTTTCTTATCCACGGATATACTAAAATCGAACGTGCTAAACATTCCAAATTGAAAAAGAAATTTGGTTCTGTACCGAAAAGAAACATTTCGATCTGTTAATGAAATATCAATCCAAATTGTCACTAGTCATACATTTGTATACTGTAAATCTTGATATTAACGCGAGCGTGAATTAAATGCGAAAAATGCGAGTTGTCTTTCCTCGCATTATTAAACATCGCAATTATATCAACAATAAGACATTTTGGATAACAGAAATACCAACGACATACGCCGAAAACAAACAACTACGTATTCCACATCACTGTTTTTTTACCAGCACTTGTTACAAGTATAAAAACAATGTCATTCAAACTAATTACATCGTGTGAATTGTCACTGCTGGGGTCAAGACAAGCGTTCTACTCACTCATATCATCACTGATCACACCTGCAAGTCCAGACAGACGCCACCTAACACGGTGTCTTTGCTCTTTGCGACTGCATCAAAGGCCGACACGAGCCAGCGCGCACGTATTGTTTCAGTACTCTACTCAGCGCTAATAAGCGGTGCTATTTAGTGTGTGATTGGATTAAGGTGAGGATCCTCCTGTAAACCTGACAGAGGACATTTTGTTTGGATATAAATCCACAGATGCTTGAGAGGAGGGGGTGTCGCATTCATATTGAGCCGCATTTTTGGCTAGGGGCCAGCGGTCGCATTCTTTTGGAGACGCATTAATTTCACGTTTTACAGAATGTCATATTTTCTCTATCCGCCCTCGATTATGATCCATGGTCGGTCAGTCCCACACCCACCCTTGTGAGACAAACCCGAGTTGTAGACGTCTATTGCCTGCTCACGCTTGGCTGTCTGCCCATATCATGGTGTCATTGGAAAAGTCTTCAAGCGGCTTTAAAACCAACCCCATTACACACTCTTTCCGATGTTCAGTAGAGTTTTAAAAAAATGCAATCTGTCTTTCACTCTTGGGATAATAGAAGAGCTATATTGAAGTAAGGAGGTATCCTCTGTATATGGCCCTATGGCTTGAGGGTCGTAGTCCTTTCTGTAATGATGCATTAAACCATCTTTTGGTTCTACCACAAGAGTTAACCATCCTGGTTGCAACGTTTCTGCAGCATGTGTCTGTAGCAAGTCAACACTTTCAGGAATCACTAACAGTTTAGAACGGTAGAATGGGGGATTCACAGATGACCTATTTGTGTGTAAAAATACACCCATTCTGTATTTCAAAGCATCATATTTTGAATGAAATTCTGATCTTGTGTCATGTCCATTCAGAAAGAAAAATGCATTCTGAAACATGAGGGCTCCGTACGATTTTGATGGTTTTAGAGTTGGCATAGACAAAAGTTTATCAGCTAATGCATATACCGTGGTTTCGGATTTTGGAACAACGACCTCATCAATGTCTGCCAGGAGAACGTATTTGGCCACCCCAAACTGAGAGAAGACACAGTCATGGATACTCGCCATCTGACCCCAGTAGTGGATCTGGTCTGGAGGAAAGGGAAGCTTCCAGTTCCTCATCTCCACAATGCCTTCTCTCTCATAGTGCAGCAGGACTTTGTTGACATCTTCTGGTATGCTGTAGTTGTAGAAGATAAACTTGTCTGTCCCGAAGTATCTGCTGGTCTCTAGGGCTGTGACAAGTGTGTTGACGTCAGTGAAGTTCCCATGCACCGCAGGGTAACAGCGCGTCAGTCGGTTATAGGGGGGTCCAGGATAGTTGACAGGGAGGACGTTGAGCGGGGAGGACATCCGGGCAGTGAGGACAGAAATGAACTCTGGGTAACTGTTGGGAGGTACTGGGCAGTGAACGAATCCACATCCATACCTTAAACACAAGAAGCATGTATTATTTCACAATCACGTGCCTCTGTTATGCATCCATTTACAACCATTTACCTGGTCTTTACGTAAGTTAACTGTGTCATTATGTTTAACATTAATTTAATATTCAGATTGTTAATAATAAATAAATCTTTCTGAAAAAGTTAACTTGTTTGAAAAATGAATTACCCAAATACCTTATCGTAAATTGTCAATCCCACTCGAGATTGTTCAATATTTTTCTAGCCGCACTAATGATATATGACCTTCTTACTTGAATCAATTTTCTATCAACTGATAAACAGAACATGTCAATAAGCAGGTGCAAATAAAAGCGACAAATCCCCCCCTCCATATTCATAAGAAATATCTGCTCAAAGCAGAATAGATTGTACGATCCGACTATATCATGGCGAGCGTGAATAACACACACAGAAGAAAGCCGATTGTTTAACCAAACAACAAGGAAAGACACGGCTCAAGACAAATAGGTACTTGCATTGGACATCATTTTGTCACTGATGCGTACAAATTGAAAATATCTTTTCACACGTCTTCCATAAAACCTGTTGAAAGCTGTACTGAAGCCTTGAATTGTGTGACATTGATCAAAAAGCATTTGAACAAGAATCGTTTGACACTGAAGTCACCCCCTTGTCATACAGTCTTGTGGGATTGCCTAGAAGTCGGGCCAAGAAAAGTCGTAGTCGGGCCAGCGGGTAATACTTAAAATGGATTGCAGAATAATAAAACGAAACGTGCATATCTAGGCAGATCTCAAATGTCCACAAACGGATAGTTTTGCTCATTTAATTGAGTTTGAATCAAAATGTATCTTCAGCAATGTAATAAACTGATAATTATAGCTACATACCGAGAGTTCATACCGAAAAGTCAGTGTCTTGACTGTGTCTTTACTTTGATGAGAATGTTTCTCACCGACCTTAGCGTGCAGGGGTGTGATGTCCTGGACAGGAATTCGAAATGACAGTGTTTTGACTACTCTTCTTTCATTAATTAACGTGTTTGGCATACCTAATTAACCTTTACTAATTCATGTTAAACCAACACAGGATGTTTTCTGCAAGTTGATATTCGCGAATGTCATAGGACTGACACGACACGTGTTAATAACTGTCAAAGCGCTTCTAAAATTACAACACATACTTTACATCTATAGACTAATTATAATATCATATCTACCTATATAACACTTTAGTGTCTCATATTGCAGTAGCAAACACGGTGCTCAAAAGTGAAGCCCTTTTCCCTCTACATTCTCTCTATCAGAAGTGTTTGTCTTGTGTTGGGTCCGACTTGGCCCGGGCTGTCAAAATCAACTTTAAACACACAGATGTATCTTCAAATGTGTTTACATCTAGAGATTAGTGTTATATCTACCTATATACCACTTTATAATGTCACGGTACATCGTATTTAAAGAAAACAAGGGGCTCAAAGTGAAGCATTTTTACTGTATTTTCTTAAGAAAATCTATGTCAGAAGTGTTCGCTCCGACTTGGCCCGGGCTGTCATAATCAACTTAAACCTCACAGATGTATCATCAAATGGATTCACATCTTTAGATTAGTATTATATCTACCTAAATACCAGTTTATTATGTCACGGTACATCGTATTTAAAGAAAACAAGGTGCTCAAAGTGAAGCATTTTTACAGCATTTTATATCCACCTATATACCACTTTATAGTGTCTCAGATCGCTGTAATTAAAGAAAACAAGGGGCTCAAAGTGAAGCCCTTTTCCCTCTACATTCTCAACATAGTCTCTATCAGAAGTGTTTTGCTTGTGTTGGGTCCGACTTGGCCCGGGCTGTCAAAATCAACTTTAAACACACATATGTATCTTAAAATGTGTTTAAATCTATAGATTAGTGTTATATCTACCTATATACCACTATATAATGTCACGGTACATCGTATTTAAAGAAAACAAGGTGCTCAAAGTAAAGCCCTTTTCCCTCTACATTCTCAACATAGTCTCTATCAGAAGTGTTTGTCTTGTGTGGGGTCCGACTTGGCCCGGGCTGTCAAAATCAACTTTAAACACACATATGTATCTTCAAATGTGTTTACATCTATAGATTAGTGTTATATCTACCTATATACCACTTTATAATGTCACGGTACATCGTATTTAAAGAAAACAAGGTGCTCAAAGTGAAGCCCTTTTCCCTCTACTTTCTCAACATAGTCTCTATCAGAAGTGTTTGACTAGTGTTGGGTCCGACTTGGCCCGGGCGGTTAAAATCAACTTTAAACACACATACGTATCTTCAAATGTGTTTACATCTATAGATTAGTGTTATATCTACCTATATACCACTTTATAATGTCACGGTACATCGTATTTAAAGAAAACAAGGGGCTCAAAGTGAAGCATTTCTACTGTGTTTTCTTAAGAAAATCTCTGGCAGAAGTGTTCGGTCCGACTTGGCCTGGGCTGTCAAAATCAACTTAAACCTCACAGATGTATCATCAAATGGATTCACATCTATAGATAAGTATTATATCCATCTAAAAACCACTTTATAGTGTCTCAGATCGCTGTAATTAAAGAAAACAAGGGGCTCTAAGTGAAGCCCTTTTCCCTCTACATTCTCAACATAGTCTCTATTAGAAGTGTTTGGCTTGTGTTGGGTCCGACTTGGCCCGGGCGGTCAAAATCAACTTTAAACACACAGATGTATGTTCAAATGTGTTTACACCTTTGGATTAGTGTTATAGATTAGTGTTATATCTACCTATGTACCACTTTATAATGTCACAGTTTATCGCATTTAAAGAAAACCATGAGTTCAAAGTGAAGCCCTTTTTCCTCTACATTCTCAACATGACTAGTATTATATCTACCTATATAACACTTAATAATGTTGCACGATAACTAAAAAAAAACTGGTCTGTTAAAGTCGAGCACTTTCACTGTATCTTGTCAAGAAAATTTCACCAAATGTGTTGGAGTGAAGTATACTCTTTAAAGTGAAGCCCTTTTTTCATGGTATGTGTCTGGTCGGAGAATCCCTTGCTTTTACCTAATCCGTCGTGGGTTTTTTCAAGGCTCATACTCACAGGGTAACACTTGGAGAAGGTAAGGTGAGACACTTTGCATTTCTGGATAAACCTCTCCCTCAACCCTGCTTAATGCTTCTATTATCTATGAGTGTGTTTAGGAAAACAGGATTATCTGATCAGACAGTTGTAATCTGCCATACCGCGAGAATACGTGCTGCATCTCCGAGCAGCTCGTTCTGTGAAAACCCCATTCTCCTGAACCTGACTTGGACCACTCAGTATTATTGTCGTGATGGTTAAAAGACGCCATAAATTAAAGTTCTCTATATATCTAGCAACTTTTTTTTATATAAGCAACCCCTAAAGCCCACACTTGGGTTGCACACACCACTTTCGCACCTTTCGGAAACACATTATATGGCCTGGCCGGGCCCGTGTGCGAAATACGCATCAGTCGGAAAGCGTGCGTGCGTGCGTGCGTGCGTGCGTGCGTGCGTGCGTGCGTGCGTGCGTGCGTGCGTAAGTAAGTAAGTAAGTAAGTAAAGTAAGTAAAGTAAGTAAGTTTGTAAGTTTGTTTTACAGTCGTGATGTTTAAGATTATTAACCACCCGGGACAAGTCGATCCGACAGGTTGAATGATACGCAGGATGCAAAAGGAGGTAAGCGCAAGTACGGTACAGAAACTGAAGTAAGTTGGGCTCTCTTAGTTTTCTGTATGCTTACACATCATCACGTCATACTGGATTTAATTTCGTTTCTTATTCTAATACTGCTCATCTTTGTCAGTGGCCAGTGAAAGTATCACAAGGGAAAATTCCAATATATACAAAATATACAATTTGTATATATGGTATATCCAAAAATATACAATTTTGTATATATGGATAGATTTTACCACTGCTTTACTCAGTTCCTTTTTACTGGATTCTCACAATATGTGGTTGATATTGAAAATATTACTTATAATACCGGACAGTATTATTGCATGTGACAAATATACTTTAAAACTATATGTTCATTATGACAACTATATTTGGAGTGTTATGAAATAATTGGCATTTATTCATGTTGACAGCATTTTACATAATAAAGAAATAGAAGATTTCAGCAGACTTTTGTAACTGTTAGATATATAATACGTCCGCCTACTGTTTACAAATAAGATGATCTATACATACAAGTAGTTCAGAGTAGTTTTAAACTGTGTCGGTAAAATAAATTTATCGTGAATAGCGGCAAATATGAATATATACAATTTAAGATATATGTTTCTGTTATGTCATGGTATGTTGATTCTGAATCTAAAATATTGCTTGATATTGTCTGCCAAACAGTTGTATGCACTGTCCATCGTGATACTTCTACTTAAGTATATAAAAAAGGATGTTTGTTTAGACATGCGTTCACTGTAAACAACGCCGTGTTTTCGTTTGCTGGTTAGCTTTTACAGGTCAAAAGCAAAGTTAATCGCATTATTTTCGTGACGCATTTTAGGCCTGTCATACAGTTCCTGAAACAAATATATCCAATACAGCCGATGCAAGTCAATCATATTTGGCAAGACTAGATTACTGCAGTTATATATTTTATCAATATAATCAAACAATTGTTTTTTTTGTTGTAAAATATGTTCATTTCAGAAACTAGATGTTAGTCTAGCCAGCGGTCTAAACTCGCATTAATTTGGTTACACGTTTCATGATTTACAGTATTCGTGAAGAATATGTAACAATAAGCCACAATTAGAGCCTTTGGTAGGAGTAGAGGGAATGATAAGCAAAGACTTGCTAAGTATTTTATGATATTCATGATAGCTCAAAAGAAATTTTGATTTATGTTTGTAGTACACCCCAAAAAGAGGGATAACACAAGTGATATATTAAGATGACATACAACTTATACATACTTACGTGTATAAACTACTATCAAACAGTGAGGATAACAGGTGTTTGCATAGAGGTGAGCGTATCCTGCACCACCGGTGGAACAAACACACGCAAAGGCAAGTTAGTTGTTAAACCCGATTAGCACAAGTCAAAACAGAGAATTTCATCAGACATAACTCCATTTGCTACTTCTGTGGTAGTCACCAATCAACCCATTTATACTTCCAAAAATAGCTTTAACCCTTTTAAAGCTTTTGAGAAATTCAACAGTATGGGTTTGGTCTGACAAAGCAAGAAGCACAAATGGGGCATGTTTCGGCCAATGATTAGAGTATTCTTGCAAGTCTAAGGGTCCAACAGGAGTTATTGCTGCGACATGCTATTTCAAAACCCAAAATTCAGAGGGATATATATGAAAAGAAAAATTGAAATAATACAAATATAAATTCCTTCCAGGTAAAGGCTATCACAAGGAAATCAAATTAACAAAGCAGATTTTAGTCAATGACACATCTCTTGGGGTAGAAGTTCATCTCTGTCACCATGCTGTGGTATTTCTGGAAAGGAAAGTTAACTTACACAGTTGTAATATACGTGGAAGGCTTAATGTTGCTGATTAAGCGCAAAGATATAAACTCTAACTGTCTGCTCAGTAACATTCATGTAATATTAGTAATATTCAAATAAGTGTACTTGTTCTAGGTGTGTGTGACGTGGATACATATATCTAAGCGTATAGAAGAAACGTCAACAAACTTGTAACTATGTATAAAATAATAAATAAGCC